AGCTCCCTGTAGCTTGATTTTTGGGGCAATAAACACTTTTCGACCAAACCTATGGGACTCAAAGTTTTTCATTTATAAAACAATATTTTTGTAAATCACAAGGAAGTTACTTTCCATGACCAATTTGTGTCCAACCGTGCCACTGCGCAACGTATGAAAACATATCGTAACGACAGAACGTCCGACTTAGATCTTCAGGTGGTGGAATCGACTTCAAGTTAGCAGTAGTCAGACATGACGCAATTTCGTCTTTTCTATTTGTTAGATAGTGAAAGGAATGGCAAAGAAACTTACAAAAACTGTTGTGCCTCTCGCTTATTATGTTATTTTTTTAATTCATAACCACATCGTATATCTTGTTCTTGCTCTTGATGAGAAGAAAAAAATAAATAAAAATTATGAGTTTTTCTTAACGTTTACTGCTATCGTTGCAGTTTTGTTTTTTTTCCTTCATATAATACATAATCATTATCGAAATGTTTTTTTGGAATAATTTTAATATTTGCAGTGAGTCCGAGCCAAATGTTGCACATGTAATACTTATGGATTTATCATTGTCAATAAAAATTCAATAGCATCACTAACTCTCCGCATGTTCTGCAAAGACCAGCAAATTGTCTACATCCCGTGTGTAACCAAGTCTTAAGAGTGTCGATTCTCAAATCTCAACTCCGACTACTGCCAAATTTGTTCATGTTCTTGTTATAGTATATTAATGCGTTTGTGCAAATACCACCAATAGTAGAAAACCTGGGAAAATAATTCTTTTATTAGACCTCCATGCAGGTATGTTTCATATGTAACACAATCTTACACTTGAAGTTAACAAAGTATTTGTCACCTCCAGTATTCAATATAATTGTGTATGCTTGTGTGTCTTTGCGGCCAGTGTTTAGGTTGCTGCTGTTATACCCTAAATGGCATTAACTGGCTTTGAATGGCAAGAAAAACCAAATCGCATATATACACATACATATACAAACACACGAACACAAACGTACACCTATATAACAAGCACATGATCGATTATGAATTCTACACACGAGTGTCGCACGCTGCGCCAAGTAACACCAGCAAAAGATCTCTTGTGGCAACCACCACATCATCGCATAGCACTGCCAACCAACACCACCAACACTATTCAATATACATCAAGTGTTAAGCGAGACACATAAAGCTGCTTGGTCGCTTATGAAGGTAGTTTGCCTAGACGTTGTTATTGTTGTTATTATTATTGTTATTCTTTTGTTGTTGTTGTGTTATTATGTTTTATATGATGTTGACACTTCATTGGCGCGCGAGTTAATTAAAGGCTACGTTAACCAAGCAAGTGGTATGTTGGCATCAACATTCATACAATTGTTTCGATACGATTTTACACCATTTCCAAACCGCACTAACAACGGCAATAATAACAAGTGATTTTACAACTGATTTAACAGACCACCGGCTGTGAAACACTGTTCACTGCTACTGTTGCTACTTCAATTCTAGTGATCTGGTGATCTCTGTTGAACGCCAGATTGCTTCTCCTGCACTTTGTAATAAGTTAAGTTGTAAACACTTACTATGCATGCACGTATATACATACACACAAACACACACACAAACTCAGCCAGATATATATATATACATGTATATAATATGTATGTACGTATGTATGTATGTATTTATGTATGTATATACATGAGTTTTGATTATGCCTGTGTGTTGGTATGTTGTGTGTGAAATAAGTTTTGCCATAGTGGTATGTTTTGGTATTTTAAGCGGTATTTATGCATTTCAATAACTGAAAATGGCATGAAGTCTCTCTCGCATAACATTTGCATAAATTTTTCCTATAATGTTTTTTTTTTCGATTTAAAACATTTTTGTACACAAATTGTTTCTATTCATTTTTTTTAAAGAAAAATTAATCATCAACTTTGCCTATCATTCAAAGTATTCTATATATAAATCCATACATTTAGGACTTCATTTCTATTGGGAAAACCAAAAAAAAATAAGAAAAGAAAATCGTTTTTTGTTGTCTTGATCTCGAACTATTCGACTTAAACGTACAAATGAGTATTAATCTTTAAATTAAGCAAGAAGATAGAAGAACAAATTCCGTTCGCGTATCTTATATAAGCACATAAGGTCAGAGTGTAATAATTGCCAAGCGTGCTATCCGACCTTCACTAACGAAAATCTAATGTTTATGTCAATTTAAATATTAAATTCAATACACATAAGGCGGCTTATGTAAATGAACCTCAGAAGCTTTCTTCGCTAAATGGAACGACACGAGTCATCCGATGAATATCTATCTGACTTTTCCCGCCTTCTCTTTTGTTTCGTTTTTGCAAATACAGAATAACTCTCAACTGAGTTCTTCCCTCATGTTTATCTCTTCTCTAAATTCTAGAAATATAATCAACACCAATAGGAGAAAGAACTCTACAGCTTATGCTTAAATTACTGAAAACATTATTGTGCTTGTGTGCAAAAATCTCCTTATCTCGGAGATGGTGGGAATATTAATTTCATTTGCCCGCTTGTCGTTGCATCGCCGAGTTCGATAAAAATACTGTTTTTTCGTAAATTCGTTTATCGTATCTTGTTTATTAAACTAGCTACGAAATCGATATCTTCTCGATCATTGTTTATTTAACAAAATTCTCGTTTGGAACTCAAATTAGTATGACAAAGAATGTTCGATATATCCTGAGCGTAACTCCTCTCTTTTCTTTATTCTATACATTAGATGGTTGCATGTATTTTGGCCATTCTTTCACTTGAATAAGGCACTTATTGAGAAAAATTGGTGCAATATAGTTTAAGCAAAATGTGTCCATCATTGGCTACAACGTTTTACCGTATTTCTGGCAACATGGCGATATCGTGTCGAAAGAACTTGCATCGGCTTCCACCCACCGGCACATCTTGGCGCTTCTTCAATTTTTCCGGCCCGTGTGCCACCCAAGCCATGTTGGGCCGACCTAAACAGGTGGTAATCAGGAGGCACCATGTTTGCTGTGTACACTGGACGTGGCAGAGCTTCTCATTCGAGCTGCAACAATGTATAGTTGGCAACAATTGCAACCAATGGCTAATCTTTTTTGCATCGTTTTTTACATCATTCACTTTGTTAAACTGACATCAACAGAGATCAACGGCTCTTATCGGATTTACGAGTTCGTAACACATCACAATTTGCTGATCCCATCATATGCACAGCACAATGTTATGACCATGAATATTCTGATTCTTTGTCGATGTGGATGGCTCTCCTTGACAATCCCATGACTTCTTGCACTTGGAATTGTCGTAGTAGATTCAATTTTCGCCGCCAGGCACAATACGCTACTAAAAATTCTCCTTTTTTGCATTTTGGATCTCTCCCATCGAATGCAAACGTCTAAAAAAAATTGATTCGCGAACTGCTAAGCTGTTCGGAAATTCTTCGAGAGTTGTAGCTGGTTTTTCAGCCAATAAGTCTTGCAATTCGTGGTCATTGGACTTTATTAGCCCTCAAATCAAAGCTGACGATTGGGATATGATGGACTTACATCACCACAAGCTTCCGACTGCGATTGGTTGGCTACAGCAAAAGATTTCTTCAACAAAAAGATTTCTACAGCAAAAAAAAGTATTGAAGGTCGAAAATGTAATCTCGAGCGCTCCACGATTAGCGTCGGCTTACGCTAAATAAATCAATATCATTAAATGGAACACTGTTGTTTCTTGTAAAGGAAGGTCAAAACCACCGAATTCAACCGTTATTTAGCCGGGTATTTTCCATTTCTTTACCATCATGCAACCGCCTAATGTAGAGAATTAGTTAATAATCACTGCTACTGACTCGTAAACGTCGTTTCTAGCAAAAGAGTTTATTTTATTTTTAGGCAAGAAATAAGCAAAAAGAAGCAAAAAAGAAATCAAGACTTAAGCAATGTCTTTCGAAATTTCATGTCATTTCGACATTTTCTTCGGAAGTTATAGTGATTTCGATAACGTTATTCCTCCTGCTACTTGCCAAGCAGCGCAAGACTCGAAATTTCTTGGGTTAGTCAGACATTGCGTTATGATGGGAAAAACGTACTGCTTACCCTCAGGATTGGCTCGGAAATTGTTGCTGCAATCCTCTTATGTTGAAAACGACAATTTGTCGGATCATATGGATTCCGATTATGTTAATCGCATTGGACGCCCAAAAGAAATGAAAGATTCCGCCAGAAAATATTAACAAAATCCTGAAAACTATTCTCTATATATAAAAAGTTGAAGGAGGTAGCTGACACCCTAAGCACATAGTGGTGCATGAGAAACTGGGCATTGGACATTGTATTGACTCAGAGTGTCGCAAGTCGAAAGATAGGTCGTTGCGCAAAGCGAAGTGAAGTGAGACAAGTCGTTCTATAGAAAAGCCATCGAAGTGTTACGTTCAGTTCAACTGCAGGAGGCCTTGTTAATGAATAAAGTCGAAGCAAAAAGATTTTTTTTTTAATGCTTGGTCCCAATAATTATTGACTGAGCTTCTTGGCGCGTGCGAAGAGGAAGTGAAACATAATTTCCTACATTTCACTCCTTCAAGACAACATAGGGCTTTACCTTACCTCTTTGTTACTGGTTTGTATTCCTTTGTCGTACCAAATAAGCCTACCAAGCATGCTTAACTCTATCATTTGTCTTTACGAAGCCCTCCTTTGCAATGTAAACCAGTCTCTGTTTATTTTTCGAACTCACTAAATTTTTCTTTTAAAATTTTTTGAAACTTTAAGTTTTTATTTCATCAGTTTTCAACATCACATACACACCTAAAATTTTTACTATTTATTACACTAAGACAGAAAGTCAATAACTGATAATTAAAGTGTTTGATACATAAGAGTAAATCTCAAAAATAATCATTAATTTTAATTTAATTAAATGATCAGCTAAATAATCACTAAATAACCGCTAAATACGTTTCACTCCCATCATCGTCATATATGTCAAATGATCAAAGTGATCGCACTTTAGTTTACTACTTCAACTGTTTCGCAATTATCGTCGTTTTCTGTTTGATGACTGCCGACACCTGACAAGGGACTGCGTCTTTCGTCATCACAACTGTCTTCGCAGACGCAACTCAAACGGCTACTGCTGCAACTGCTCGACGCCGATTTGATGCTATCATTGCAATCGTCCGGCTTGCTGGGACTCATTTTATGCATCGCGTCCAATTTTAATTTACTACTCATGCTAATAGAGGATGCGTGGTAATGATGGCGCGTACGCTTTTCAGGTTTTTTTAAAAGCTCTTCTATTGAATAAGGATTACGTTTACGACTATGAGTTTGTTGTTGTGGTTGTTGATGTTGTTGTTGTTGTTGTTGTTGACCAGGATTGGTGGCCAGCGACGATGGTGTAAGTTGTAAATTGGATGGAGACGATTTACCAGAATCGCAATCACTTAAGGCTTCGCTCGCTGATGCGCTAGCGGATTCTATAGATTTCTCCGATTTTATATAGCCTTGAAGAGAGGCAGCTGATAAACACGCAGGCATTGTTGATGGTTGACGATGATGGCTGGTATTGTATTGAGGAAAAAATTGACTTGCCGCTTGCATATGCTGGTACAAAAGTGGATTGCAAAGCCAATGCTTAGGAAAAGCGCTCGTATACGAAAGATCCTGAACAGTAAGTTGACCGTTTAGTGCTGAAGTTGATGAAGCGGAAACGAATGTTGTGGACACCAAAGCATGCTTTGGGGCCGGTTTAATAGGATGCTCGCCTGACGAGCTTAAAGCAGTTGAAGTAGAAGCTAAATCTTTATAATGATAGGGTGCATTTAAGCCTAACGTGGAGGTGCTTTGCAATAACTGTCTGGCTGTTGTACCAGTATTATGAGAGTACGGAGCGGTGTCTTGGACGATACTGGTAGCTGAAGTAGACGCAGAATTTGAGTACAGTTGATTAGTGTTATTGTACACAGATGATGATGATGGCGCGATCAGATGAGTTGGCGAAGCAGTTGCCGCCGCTGCTGCCGCTGCAACGGCATTCTGATTGGTGGTCATTTCATCGGTCCACAAACCACTATTTCTTAAAATGCGATTAATAGAACTAATGGAGGGCACAGAAGCGGGATCACAGATACGTTGCTGTTGCAGCTGGTCACGTATCTCCCAAGCAAACATACTGCTATTCTCCTCCTTCAAACGTATAATTTTCTTGACGACCGTCGGTGTAGCCACTTGCTGGTAAATGAAATAAATAGAAATAAAAGATTTTTATCACTTTACACACACAAAATAATAATAATAATAATAATAATAAAATATAATGTTTGTAGGAAAATTTTTATCGCACTCACGTTAAATGAACAATTAAATACCGTGAAATCTAATTGTTTCCACAGACAATGGTGTCATTAACATGTATGCGGCGCTATGAAGAAATCACGCAAATACATGATTTTTTGCCCTAAGCAAAAGTATAGATTAATGGCAGACAGTGAGTTTAAAAGAGAAAAAATTTGCAATAAATTTCCAAATTCAATGGTCAACGGCATATGAGGATTGAGAATGTGCTTCATTTTGATCCTATACTTATATTTAGATGTACGTGATATTCTCTCCTTAAGCTAAGATTTAAGTAGCGAGTATAGGAATGCCAGACATCAGGCGAAGATAGAAAACTGCTGCTTTCGAATCACTTCCCCGCCGTTTGGCAACGGCGACCCTTACAAAAATATGAACAATAACAGTCTCTTGCTGGAGTACCCTATAGCCGAGTGAAGGAACGAGCATTTCTCACCTGGAAGACTCACATTCGATTGCTTATTCGATAGGCCATACTTTCACTCGCAGTGCTGCAAAGCTTTGGTAATTATGTCAACTGAAGTATCGGACAAAAAGGCTCAAGCAGTGAAGGCTACTTGCGTCGTAGTTGGTGTATGAAGTACTTGTTAGCCAACCAGCAGTTAAACCCAACACAAATGAAGTTTCCTTCTTTAAGCTCTGGAGAGCGATACGGGGCAGACCTTTTGCTGCTAATTCTATTAATGTTGTCGCTTTTTCCCTAGGATGGTTCAGCGAACTGAGGAGTCTGTTGTTTGCTGCCGCCAAACTTATCTACGCCAACTTCTAACATAACCCGCCGAGCGCTGATCAACAGGCAAGCAATCGTAATGCGTAGGATTCAATTTTGTGAATTTGTAATTAGATCTGACTTGCGTGCTCCTTCAAGTAAATCAGGTAAGAAAAAACCTGATTGACACGATCAATAGAAGAAGAAGTAGCCGCAGAAACGAAAGCCTTGCGATATACACGCAAACCAAGTCCTGCTTGGGAAAAGTCGAACAAGTCCACTCGAACAGCATTTTTACCAATAAAAAGTGATATAAAGTGTCCTCCTAAGAAATCTGGTTTACATAGTCTTGACTTCGCTTGACTAGTTAAACATATAACGCTTGGGAGGGAAAATCTAAAATGCACTGCGCCTAACAATGACCATAGCATTACTTCCCCTTCCTTAAACTGAGTGCTTAAACAGAATAAGAGACGAATTTCAATAACTTGAGAAGTCAGTGCTGAAATTTTCTTAAGCACTTACTATTGTATTTGAAGCAGTTTTGTTTTTTTCTAATTTAATTTTTACTGAATATGTTATCGTTTTAAAAAAAGTTTTCTTTTAAAGGAAAATGTTTGCAATTTCAACACCTCTTTTATGTCATGAAATTAAAAAGGGAAAGAAAAACATAACTTAACACCTTTTGTCCTGTAATATCCTTTCTTTTGATTGCATTGTTCATATCCAATGCAACCACAAATTATCGTTAGCGGATAAAGCGCTTAATAAATGCACATAATGCAGACAAGTAGCTATACTAGTAATATATATGAAACCAAATATACATATATATATACACACATATGAAACCGTTGACTTATATAGCATGACTGACGTGTGACTAAGCAATTCATTAAAAATTCATAAAACAAAAATTTCACATCGAAGAGAAGGAAAAATAAAATATTTAACTTAAAGCAAATTACAACATATGTACAACGAGGACTATATTTGTACGATGGTTATCTAAAGGGTTATAAAAATCCAGGTACGGTATAATGCATGAGCATGCTAGCCCATGAAAGCCTTATATACATGTCGATGATAAAGGTGTTAAGTGTAGGTTTTTGTTATTTCAATTTAGGGCATGCATCACACATTAAGCGGACAGCGCCACGCTCTTTCTCTCTTATTTCTTTCATATTTCACCTACACACCTAAAATTTTGTTACTCAGTTACTTAATAATAATTTTTAAGTCTGCGACAGCCATAGCCGTAGATATATGAGTAAATAACACAATTTCAATAAAAGTTGAACAAATTTTCACATGGACCCGTGCCTTGAAGTGAATAATTTCAAAATAAAAAAAAAAAACAATTGACAACATTACAGTGTGGCGCGATCCATGCTACAAGACCCTAGATTTATCCTTATAACGGCAGTTTAAATAAAAATAAGATGTTATATGAAAAATGGCCGAAAAAGTGGTTCGATCCGAACTATTTTCATTGCTGATCGTCTTTAGGCCAAAGCACATCGAATTATTTCAAAAATTACGGCATGTAGGTTGGGCACAAGAAAACAAGACAGATAGACAGACGGACAGGCGAACTTAGATCGATTCCGAAAGCGATACTAAATAGGAAAATAAATAACACAAGAAAAGAGAGCGGACAGACGGACAGACAAGCTTAGATCGATTTGCAAAATGATTTTAAATTCGTCGGTATAGCAAAGGGTGCTCCGTATGGTTGCACAAACTTACTATAACCTTGTACCACAAGCAGAGTAACGTATAAAAACGCCAATTTTCATTCGCATTTTGTGTGTATCCTTTTTACCAATTCCAATTGCACTTATATATACCGTCTTAGTAGAGAAGGAAAAAGACTTAGGAAACACATCTATCATCGTTTTTGCTTTAAATGGTTTTATTAAGAGTACAAATAAAGTCTGTAAATTTTATGGTAAAATTCGAATTTAATTAAAAAACGTTTGTTACAAAGCTCAATACTCGAAATATTCCCCCTCGTTATCATAGCACTTTGCCTCTTCTCCGAGTAGCTTGCGGATACCCTCGCAATAGAAACTTGATGGTTTCGAGGCGAAGTGGTCTAGTGGACTAGTGAAGAGGAAACCCTATCTAGAGAATAAGCCGCAACAGGGCAAAGTTCCGAGCTCAAGTTGAAGACTGCTTCACGATCTCACTCTCAGCACTCTTCAAGTCCCTTTCAAGGCCCTTACATGGCGTTTTTTTCTTTAAACATGTCGTTTGGTTTGATTACGTTTAAATATAAAAATCCTGTCAGAGGAGAGGAGTGCATAGTATATTAGATCCTTCACAGCCCCAACAAGCGGAGCTCCGCAGTATTCATCGTCCTCAAGATTAAAATTTTTTACACGAAATCTCACAAACCATTTTCTAAGGATTCCGTACGTTGCCGCATTTTCACTCATGTGCAAATCCTTGCAGGTTTATCTATTGCGAGAAGAGGTGAATTTTTTTTTGAATTTGGGGAAGAAAAGTGTTCATCGCCCATTCTCAATACCAATCTGTGTGCAATGTCTCAAAACTTTTGCAAAATTTGAACTCGATAGCTTCATTTTTACGGAGGGACAGAGGGACATGAGTAAATCGACTTAAAATATAATGCTGATAAACATATGTATACTTTATGAGGTCTGTGAAGCTACTTCCGCTACTTCCTGCTACAAACGTTTTGACAAAGCCCACCGGGTTTAGGATAGCCGTATGGACTTCCTGCAGCGTTTCTCGCCTTTGGTCGACTTAAACGGAATAGAACTGCTGGCCTCTTTCTCTTTTCTTCTTTTTTTTAACATTTTTCTTTAGCACTTTTTTTTTTCATTTTAATTATTTGTATATTAATTACTTAGCGTAATGTTTTCAAGAAATTCCGTAAATTGTTGCCTTCCGAATATATACATAATTCTTCCTTATTAGCTCGCCATAAAAGCATGTGATTGTGTTTAACTTAAATAATCTAACCATAAATATTATTATCGATCCGTTAAACCACACAAGAAGTGTGACATTTTATAACCAGTTCTGCTACTGGAAAAAATTATCGAAACAAAATAAATAAATAACCGAAAGAGAGAATTGTGTGAATTTTCAGCTTTACCGACACCTGATGTTTGGAAAACATTTTCATTATCTCTATATAAAGTACGGCAGACATCTATGTAAAGTGCGGCAATACCACAGGGCATGTAATTTTCTACCCCATTATGGTAATTTATTTACCTCAAAAAAGATTTGTTTACGTCAACGTCTCTTAACAATAAGTTCAAATCTCCAGAAACTGTGTCATTCAGTTTATGATAAGATAGTGCTATTGAAAAAGCATATGTTTTTTTTTTTTTTTTAAATTGATAAATAATTCGCTTACCTTAGTTTTACTCCCACCTATAGAACCTGGACGTATAGAACCGGTTTCATAGAAACGTGTCAATATTTTTGAAACGCACCCTGCAGATAAAAAATATATTCGGGCTTGATTAACTTGAATTGGAAAAAAGCTTAAATGTAAATAAATTTAATTAACAAATAAATAAATTTAAAAAATAAAAACAATTATTTTATAGCGACCTTAAAGTAAATAAATGCAAATACAAATAAATTAATTTAATCCGAGTTTACTTGTCATAAGGGCGGAGACCTTTGCAAATTTTTCAAAAACAAAAACCTCTTTTCTTTTCTATTAGCTTAATAGATGTCTTCAGCCCTGGGAAATATGTGGGAAAAATCAATTAACTGAAAGAAATTTTTTTCTCTTGAAAAAGAGTCAACAAATTCTGGTCGCGTTTAGTCGTGACGTATTGAAAGCGCTTGTAATATTTTATTCATTTCATTGATTAAATTAATGGCGTCCAGTCTATCAGATTCACGATTGAGGCATTGGATGGTGGCGGTGCTTTGAGGGATACTTGGTATGAGTGCTGCCAGCTGCTGCGTGCTGCGACTTGTGCATAATAAATTTCCCTAGATCAGTATCCGATTATGGCCGAGTGCGTTAGGTCTACTAAATGTAACCATGCCATTCGCGGCGGGACTGGGGTACAATGGCAAGGAGTTGGTGGAAGAGTGTGCCAATCCACGCGCCACTATTGCGGTCTGGACTCGTACTCTTAGCAGGTGCTTAAAAGAATGGTTTGGTTCGCCTCATGTCTCAAGATTGTGCGACTTATATCCACAGTGTGGATTTAACCTTGAAGGATATTCTTGATAAGATTGATAACTCTTGACGAACACCGAAGGAATTTGTTGACGAATATCAAAAATATCAAAAGAAAAACCAGATCAAAGCTAGCAACATGTTGGAAGAATTCGGGAATCGTGTTGATACGAAATTGAAGGCTATTGGAATGGCTATGGAGAAGAATAAAAAAGTTGATAGCAAGCTGCAGGAAATGGCGGAACGAAACCACAAAGAAATGCTAAATCTTTCCGAAGCAGCTGGCTGGATGGACGGGAGGGCAAAGGCTAAAAGACTGTCCTGTGCTGATGTGGTTAAGGCCAAACTGTTCATTGTTCAAGCGGCTCTGCCTCATATTTTCAGAGCAAAACTTATTCAAAGAAGCGAGAAAGCCGAGGGAAGGAGCTGATTGAGAAGTCAACGCGTAAAGAGTGCAGAACATTAGCTGTAAGAACGCAAGTGATCCAGGATCAAAATTACATTTTAAAGAAAGCACAAAAGAAGCTGTGAGGTTATAGAAGATGATAAGACCTATAACAGTGTCATCATTAAGACGAATTCTGGCGGGTATGTGTCGGTTGGGAAAGATGTAGGGTCTATGATGGAGTAGCAGAAAAAAATTTGCTCTAAACGTAGTGGGTCCAACCAAACGGGTAAGGGTGGCAAGAATGATCAGTCCTGCAGTTGTACTAGAATGATTGAAAAGCTTCAACTGGGACTTAATACCGAGCATTGTTCAAGCTGTGCTAATGTGCACAGCTTCAATAAGTTAAAGATCGACTATTCTAAGTATTTGTTGCGTTCTTTACTACTTGCTGTAGCTTGTATAGCTGAGACGTGGTTCAAGACGTGCGCCGATAACAACTTGTGTGAAATTAGGGATTACAATTTTGTTCGCCATGAGAGAGATGGTCGTGTTGCCTTCTACACTGGTCAAGGTTTAGACTATAAGACGGTATTCAGGTCCGCAAACAAAATTGTGGTTGAATGTCTTGGTGTAAAGATCAGCAATAACAACGCAAAATGTCTTGTCGTATGTGTATACAATCCATATAGGCCTAATTGTTTGAGGAATGTTTTTCAGTTGTTAGACGAAGTCCAATTAGTTGCCGCAGTCGATATCAACTGTTGGGTTGAAATGGCAAACTATTATGCGAATAATGGGAAAAGAAGGAATCATGTAAAGCTCTTTCTCTACTTAAGCGTATCCGCGAAGCCCGGCACGGTTTTAAAGTAGCTAGGGAGTTTGGGAGGGTGATTTTGAATCGCTTAATGTTTGTGAAATTACAAGTGCCAAGCGATGCCTTGTGTTACTATTGTGTAAAGCGAGAAACATTTCGTTTATCTATGCATGATTTGAACAACGTAATGCTTACGGAGGAATGGTTTTATATTGCATTATAAGGCTGTTATGAGACAGTGCAGAAAGAAAAAATCTAGCCAACCCGGGAGACTTATAAACGTTTTAGAGCTTGTGAAACGGTAGCGAATAGGGTTCATTACCGTCGCGGAACAAAGAACAGGGCCTTACTTAGACGCGAGGTTTTCTCATGCACGTAATGCTTGTGGAATGTTGACGCTTACGTTTTAGTGCGGGAAAAGGTAAGAAAAGATCTGAGTGCGCTACAAAGATTCGTATAAATGCTCATACAACTATAGTAATGGGAAAGCTTGGTTGGAAATATTATTATGTAATCGGGAGAATCGCTTGTCAGACTGTCATATGTTTGACATAAGTATAAGTGCAGATTGTCCTCAAGGAAATATTGCTTCCTTCACTTTTGCTATTAGGAAAGACAATTTGCTATTAGAGCACAAATTGTTACTGCCAGTTAAAGAACTTCCCAGTCACAGGGAACGGGTGCTCAGGGAAAAGAGAATAAGTAATATCGGCAGATATAATGTCGGGGCTAATGATAAATGAATTTTCTGAAATACAAATAGATTCTCGTACGAGTGCTTTCGTTAACGGTTTTTTTTTTTTTTTTTTTTTGCTTATCTATTGAGAAGTAAGTAGTCCTTCCGCTATTTTATTCATTTGTTTGATTTTCTTGCTAAACATATGCCGTAATGAATTTTCTTTTCTTTGTTTTTAGCTCAAGTAAAGTCTTTCTATTAACTTACCGTGGGATACCAGAAGCTGGCGTGAGATATCACAAGGTCTGACGCCACATAAAGCCAGTTCAACGATGCGTCTGCGCACACAGTCAGGCAAAGGGCGACCATTAACGAAAACACCACCCAATTGATTGACACCTGCTTGACCTGTAAAATGAAATAAAAAATAAAAAATTATTTTTAAATTAATTACTGGCGTACAAATCTGGAGGGTATATTAAAACAATAAAATAAAAAATGAAACATAAAAAATAAAAAAGAATGTAGAAAATAGTGTGTGATATTCAGTAAAAGAGTTAAGCGAATGCTTATAAACCGCCTTACTCTAACTTTTCTGTAAAGAACAGTAAAAATGTTTTATTATCCTCACAACACGAAAAAGCTTTCCTCCTCTGTTTTATGCAGTTAAACTGATAGCTACCATACCTCACAATATGCAGTTGAACGGTACTTAAACGTACATTGGGGAGCGAACAGCAATGAATGGCGCAGACCAGTTTTGAAAAGGATACAGTTAAAGTTAAGGCAGCAAAAGCAACGGCCACCGCACAGTAAGCCATAAAAATAATAACCGTGAAAGCATGTTTTTTGTTAAAGTGTTGGTAATATGAGGCCTTAAGACCTTAAATACGCAATAATATTAACAACACCAATAACAACAACAGCAATAAATATAATAATATTTACACCAAAAATTCCGAATATTACCCAGAAGCTTATTGATTATAGTAATAGTTGGTTATTAAAGGTTTTTCCTTCAAAAATCGCACCATGAAGACGTGTGCAATGAGAAATTCAAGTAATGGTTAAAACGCATTTCACCGCATAATTTTTTACACAATTAAGCTTAGTACGTTTTTTTTCGCTTCTCTTCTCTTCTCCTTTCTTTTAATGCGCTTTTCTTGTGCTTTAATGGACTGGCCAAACGCATGCGGAAGATTTAAGGCGGAGTATAAATGTTATGACACAACAGGAACCTATCTACCTTATGGGTAATGATTTATTGAATAAGTGGTAAATAGGATGAAAGCATTTGAGTGCGTCTTCATATACGTACACATAAAAATTTACTTATGGGAATAGATGATTCTACTAATCTGTATTGCTATTGTTATTGGACTATTTTCGGTTAGCTGGATATTTCCTCTCGATTAGACATTGGATCGAAATGCTGGAACATAATCTCTCGTGAACTTTGCCTTTTTACTATTCGGCATTGTTGTTAATTTCTTCTATTAGGTATACTCGGTTTCTGAAAGCAACTGTTCAGATAAAGAATGAAATCTCCCATAGTAATAAGAAATGAGAGAAAACCTCTTCAAAACTAATGTTACAGCACGAATAGAGGTTCGAAGGAAGCTAGAAGCTAAGCGGCAAAAGCTTGCAATTTTACTCGCAAATCATAATTACTTCATAATTCTCTCACTATTCAAAGCCACATGCATATCAAAATATTCTCAGAGTTGGAATAACGCTTGGAAAGATAAATGCTTATTCGCGCTGACAGTTTACAAAAGTTATTCGGATAAGCGATTTTTTGGGAAAACTAATTTTGCTCGTTTTTACTAACAGATCTCCACCAAAATAAGCTCTTGTAACAGCAGCTCATTTTTAAAAAAGCCGGTTTTTATAAGCTCGGATTGGAATAGTCGGGATAGCCCTACCAGGGCTTTCCTTGGCAATTTTATTAATAATAAAACTAATTACTGGCCTTTGAAAGATCGCGTGTTTGTAAAACGATTTTTTAGAAATCGTAAAACAATCGGAAAACGTTATCTTAGTAACTCTAGGAGCAATTCAGTTATTTGGTAAACTCGTTCTTCGGGCAAAATGAGACAAAAAAGCAGTTCTTAAAAGGGGCGATTAGCTTTTACTTTTTGAAGAGAATTCTCAATAACTGGATAACAAGTCCATATCAGACATAATTTCATTTTAGAGAAACCATAACTCGAATTCCGCCATATTTGAAATTTCAAAACCGATGATATAAAATAGAAACGAACAATAATTGTTTATGTCGGTTTATGTGACTAATAAAAGAAACTTCAATTAAAACGCTTACAATGGCGTCATAATAAACTCACCTGTATGCGGCATATTAGCTGCTGGCCACAGTGTTCACAGCGCTGTTCACTAAACTATAATAAAAACTTGGATGATGCTATTTCTTCTAAAGCGGTGATAGCGATGACGCTGATGCTACGATGATGATGATGACGATGACGATGACGATGACGATGATGATGATGATGACGATTATGTGTTGTTGGAGGCACCGCGTTACGTTTTACTGATACGTCTAATCGTCGTGTTGGTATCAAATAAACTCAAAAATCCATAAAAAGCCCCACTAACAGACACAAATCTACGTTGATATGTAAGTATGCGCGCGCACAATTATTTCGGTGATTTTATGAGCGTACCCCGCTCGTTGATTGCTTGACGTTGAACCGTAAATCAGTTTTAGCCAGTTTCTGTGGCGTTTTGTTCGATTTTTCTTTTCATTTAGTGGGTCGTGGCATTTATTAACGTTGTCGCTTTATGCTTTTTATTATTTCCACGAATTCTTCGTCAGCGTTAATGATTGAAATTAACTAAAAAAAAAATAAATAAATAAATAAAAATAAAAAAAAAAAATGAAAAAAAGACAAACAGTAACAGTAATCAAAAGTTAAACACCTTTAAACGTACGTACCCACATTCACTAATGTAACGCGTTTATAATAACAAAAATGTTAACTGAACTTTTCAAAATCGTATTGTATTGAAAATTGTCCATATATGTTCGGAATTTCTGATAAAAAACCAAAACCCACAAAAAAAAAAAAGGAAAACAGTTAAAACCGTATCGCAACCCAATAATCAGATTTGTAAAAAGGCCCATAAAATTCTCCAATAATTTCAATTTTGATTTTGATTTGTAAGAAAACAAAGGCCACTTATTTCATTAACTGACCTGATTGAAGATAATTTCTTCGGTAATTCGATATAAATTATGCAAATTTTTCTTCTTTATTTTATCTTTTCTCTAGAGATTAAATAATAAAAAAAAAAAACACAAACACACAAATTAATTCGAAACAAGAGGATACAAATCATTACATATGCGTTGTTTAAGCTCAACATATTTTATATGTGGAGCAACACTCATATTAATATATATGTATATACATTTTTCAATTAATAATACAGCAAATAATATGAAGGAATAACGTGGCGTATGAATGACCTAAATAATCCTTAAAAATATAAAGAAAATATTCCAATCTCTTCTACGCTAAGATAGTTAAAGCAACCAGAGAAGGATAGCTTTGTCGAAGAACTATTGAGACATTTACGTATCGAGAATACCTGAACCCAACGGAGATAAATTAAGAGCCGCCCTCTGAAGTGATTTTAAAATATAGTCATTTCGGCAATGATATGTTAGGAAATCAACAGCTGCATTTGCCCCTCCGTACATTCTAGATACATCTACGTCCTTGATTATCTCCTACATATCTAGCTACAAAGAGGACCATATCCTATCTGTATAAATTGGAATTCTTATGTAAGTATGAGTGAGCTAACGAACTTGAAAAGTCACTTAAATAAAAAATGTTGCTTTTTATAGCATAAAGCCTTATAAAAAGGGGGCTTTGCAACGACCATTGATTAGTAAAAACTAGAAGATTTGTTTCCAGCTACACCCTGATGGGGTGCTGGAAATGCATGAAGAGGATGATGACGATTTCATAAGCAAATATTAACTTGAGTGATGAGGATCATTTTCATAGGGGTCAAGTATCTAAAGAAACGAAACTGTCATAACTGGAACTAGGAAAAACAGAGAAAAACAGCTGAGCAACTTCTTCATTCCTAACGAGTGGCAGTTCGATGTAATCAGGTAATGGCTATTGGAAAGTACTAGCGGTTCCCCGGGTCGCACTTTTTGGTTTGTTCCTATTGATAGGCAGAACCGTTGATTTCGATAAGCAAACGTTGCTTATGATATAGCTCGGAAAACACGGACTCTACCGCGGAATTGATTCAAAATGATACCTCTTGTTGGAAGGCTTTATAACTTCAGTGTTGGCATAATAACATGTTTACTATACGCTCTCGTTATTTCTTCTAATTGTTAAAAATGAACTAAGAATTACCGAAAAAATACCAAATGTTCCTAGATATGCTAATTCTTACCTTTCTCTACACTCAACACAAACTGAATTACTTCCGTTTCCGTTTTATTAAAAAATAAATAAAGTAAAGCGACAACCGATGGATTATTATATAAAGCCACTCAATGGTCATAAAATTTTTCCAAAGCAAAACCAAAGCAATAAATAAATAAAAACAAAAAAAATTGAATTTTCCTCAACGAATTATGTTTTATGCTGACCTGATTTTTTTAACACGTTAAGCAAATCAGTTAACTATGCATAGCTGTTAATGAAAACTTGTAACCCTCTTTAATAAAAGCTATTAAGAGTAGAAGAAAGAAGGTAGAAAGTAGCGAGAAATAGTATTAGCAGAAGTAGAAGAGCAGGTCTGTTCGCGTGTTTTGTTTGAAGCTAAATAAGTGAACCTTTTAGTTACGGTTTCAAGCAAATTAATTTCTATTTTAGTAATATTTCTTCTAATTAAGACTTAACGCAACTAAATCATGAAAGCCATGTAAAATAGTTTTCGCCTTTGATTACATAATCCTTTAACATGCACAACTACGTATGACATAGGAGGATACGGAGGCGTGTAATGAGCGCCTCAAATTAATTGCTTAGGTTGAGGTGAGTTTCAGAACATGTACGAAAGGATCCAAATGCAAAATAAATTTCCAGAAAACTCGTATCTTTTATTCTTTCTTGCTAGAGACTACACCCCTTATAGTACAAGAGTAGGTTAAGTTCATACCGATGTATGCGACTTGAGAGAGATTCACCTTTTAGTACATTGATCGATTTAAAATGTCGCCCTGAGTCACATTCGGGGTTGATTTAATCTTGTCTGTCCGTACGCCCGCCTTAATTTCTTCTTCTCAACCTATAGGCCGCAATATTTGAAGTACCTTAGTGAAAATTGTGACGTGTGTCTGCTCAAGGAGAAATGCTCTCCACGTAATGGCTTATTTTAAGAGGTCGTTATATGAATAACTGTAGGGCGGTGTACGCTATTTAATAGTGGACTCTGACCCACTATAGTTTCTTTACTTATTTTGGTTTAATAAACCTGTAGAACACAAGATTCGAACGTGGTTTCTAATTTTGTCTTGGACCTACCAACAAAGTTGTCGTTTCAAGAGCGTGCAAATAAGGATCGCAGACCCTCCGAGGTGCTTATATTTTTAATTCACCGACAGCTGATTGCTGATGCTTGGTGTACGCAATGGGAGAAACGATGTATTTCAATTAATCCAATACCCTAAACCAGCCAATGCAAGATATAAAAAAACGTATGCCAATGCGAACAGTTTATAAATAAATATTATTTTAAACAAAAAAGAATTAAATTTTTTCGCTTTATTATTGACATTTGAGAATCTAGCAGACCTTGGCAAGTTCAAGCCTTGGTGTCACCATTACAACTTTTCATTTTACGACCATTCGTGATAAATGAAATAAGACATATATAGCAGCAGCAGGTACGTGTGAAAAGACTTAGTGCATGTAAGTCCTGCTCTGACGTATGGCCTTAAGTGCTAATAAACTTTTAGCTGGTTATAGTATACATTTGCACATCAATATCTGCTTGAGATTATAACCTGCTGTTCTTTTGTCGGTTATAAGGATGTTGGTTCAGTTCCTTTTCGAAAGAGCAAAGCTATCAGCTATCAGAAAAAATAAGTCTTACGTGATCGTTTAATTTTTTGAAATGTTAA